TTAAATTTGAGAAGAGGTTCTTCTAAAAGTAAAGATTGTAACTTTTACTGTTTGTAGTTCTTGCCAGAATCTACTTTTTTTACTGAAAGGGGTAAAAGAGAGTACTACAATAGTTGAATGCCACTTCCCAAGCTCTGAAGGTTTGTCCCAACAAGGACAAACATATCACCCACTTTGCCTTTTCTACAAATAGAAGGCTGCTACATTTACCATTGTTCAGATAAAAAAAATTATCCCATAAGGAAGCTGTGACTTCATGTCTCACAATAAAAGTTGTAAACCTTTGTTAATTATTATAAAATAGTCTATTACCAACGCCCATGAAATGAAAATTTCTCACAGACAACGTACCTCTTGGGCTGTAACTAATCTTAAAAGAAGGCACAGTTTTAGTCTACCCTGTTCTAGTTTCAATCTTTCAGGAGTTTGCTACTGAAAGGACTCACCAAAAATACTATCTGAATAAAACTGCTTTATCATTTGATTGTATGAAACTTTTCTTAAAGGTAAAATTACATTTTTTCAGATATTTCAGAGGTCTAAAAGAGGAAATACAGTATAGACAAAGAGGCATGGCAGGGACATGGCGTCTAAAAGGTAAGTCTGAGGAAAACTGCCAGAGGCAAAGTCAAGGTCAGAAGTTGTTACATTAGATAATCTTATTTCATATTGTAAGGCACTTCTGAGCAATGATGAGGGAAGGTGTGACTGATTTACATTCCTGTGTATTATGAGTAACATGTCAGGAACAGAATCTAAAAGCAGAAAATCAACTCTGCTTCCTCTGATATAAGTGCTGATTACAGTTTAAGAAAAATCTACTGCAAATGCAATGTAAAAGTGATTTTATAAAGAAACACAGAAAGCCATTCAACGTGAAAGAATCTATCATAAAAACTTCAACCTCTATCTTGCACCATACAAAAATTAATTCTAGATAAATCGCAAATATAAAATATATACTAAAAGCAGGAAGCTTCTAGAAGAAACATAAAATACCTTTTTGTACATGTTGGTAAAGATATCAGGGTAGTTAAGACTCAAAAGATTAACAGTCATTGGGCTGGAGATGGTGGTATAGCAACTGTCGAGCATCCACAGGCCTTGGGTTCAACTCCCAGTAACACACACAGAAAGTAATAGTCATAAAAGAAACACTTCTGTTCATCAAAAGACAACATTAACAAGCAAGCAAATACTGGAAAAAAACATTCACAACACTAACACTTATCAAAGGGACTTGTATGAAGAATAAATTATAAACCAAAAATAAAACGACACTTCACAAGACATATAAATGATCAACATACACATAAAATGGCTCAACACATTAACTGCAGATTTAAAAATGGCACTCCACGTCTATTTTTCTTTAAATTTTTATTTAAAAATTTACTTATTTATATTTCTTAAATATTTTATTTATTATTTTAATTTTATGTGTATGAGTGTACTGCCTGCATGTAGGTAAGTGTACCCATGTTGTGCAATGCCCGCAGAGCTCAGAAGAATGTCAGATTTCCCTGGAACTGGAATTGAAGACGTTTATTAGCCACCATGTGGGTGCCAAGAATCGAACCCAGGTCTTCTGCAAGATCAGCCAGTGCTCTTAACTACTAAGCTATCTCTCTAGCCCGTATTTATTTATATTTTATGTGTATGAGTATTTTGCCTACAGGTGAGTGTACCCATGCATGCAATACTCATGGAGGCCAGAACAGGGAGTTGGATCCCCTGAAACTGGAGTTTCTGACAATTGTTAGCTGTCATATGGATGCTGGGAATTGAACTTGGTTCTCTACAAAAGCAGCTAGTGTTCTTAATCACTGAGCCATCTCTCTAGACCCTTTTTTCTTTTTTAAAATTATCTTTTATTTAGGGAGAGAGAGAGAGAGAGAGAGAGAGAGAGAGAGAGAGAGAGAGAGAGAGAGAAATGAATATGCCATGGCACATTTATGGAGGTCAGAGAACAACCTACAGAAATCAGTTCTCTACCATGTGGGCCTTACGAATTGAACTCAGGTCATCAGACTTGACAGCAGGTACTTCACTTGCTGAACCATCTTGCAGTCCCACATGGCTAAAATAAAAAGGCTGACAGTAGCCAGTAACATAAAGAATATAAAACAGATTTCCATTCAGTGCTAGTGGAAAGGAAAAAAAAGGTGAAAATTCTTTGGAAAAGTATTATATACAGATTAGTATAAAAGTCAAATGCCATTTATCACATGACTAACAATTTCAAGAGAATATATGCCAGAAGATCTGTAAGTATGCCATGCAAGCTTTCTTCTTAGTGGCAATACAAATGTTCATCAAATGGATATAGTTGTGATATGGTTATGCTATGACTACTACTCAACATTAAAAAGAACAAACTACTGGTAAGTCTCAGACACACTGAGTAAGAAGCAAGACAATTTCAATTACATGAAGTAATATTATCAGAAAACTAAGCGATGGAGATAGAAATCAAATAAGCAGCAGTTACTTCTAGAGAAGGCAGGGACTGAGGAGTAAGAAGGAAGTCTTCAGGGTAATGACAAACTTCTAAGTCTTGATAGGGTTGTGAGCTATGTAGTATGATATTTATTAACAAAAAATTATATACTTAAATGTCTGTATCCTACCTACTATAAATTGTTTCATTAAAAATATCCCACAAAATAATTAAAAATATTATGTCTAGTAAGTCTGCTTTACAAAAGGGTACCAGTTAGCAATCCTGAAGCTATTTTTTGATTTCTATTATCCTAGGTTTCCAAAAATGAATGAGTAATGGCAAGCAGATTTCTCACTGTTAGCAAAGGAATATAAAAATACAGGAGAAAGGGCTGGCATGGTGGCATACATCTTTAATCTCAGTGCTTGGGAGGCAGAAGCAGGCGGATCTCTGTGAGTTCGAGGCCAGCCTGTTCTACATAGTGAATTCTAGGCCAGCCAGGGCTACAGGGAAACCCTGTCTCAAAAAGACCAAAAAAAAAAAAAAAAAAATTAAAAAAAAAAAAAAAAAAATTAAAAAAAAAAAAAAAAAAATTAAAAAAAAAAAAAAAAAAATTAAAAAAAAAAAAAAAAAAATTAAAAAAAAAAAAAAAAAAATTAAAAAAAAAAAAAAAAAAATTAAAAAAAAAAAAAAAAAAATTAAAAAAAAAAAAAAAAAAATTAAAAAAAAAAAAAAAAAAATTAAAAAAAAAAAAAAAAAAATTAAAAAAAAAAAAAAAAAAATTAAAAAAAAAAAAAAAAAAACAAAAAAAAAAAAAAAAAAAAAAAAAAAAAAAAAAAAATTACAGAAAAGAATCACAAACATAGATGTGGGAGTACTACAGAGGCAAATCATAAGTATCAGTATAAACTTAAGGCTTTAATAGAAATGTATTAATCTGTGTGTTCGTATGTATATATATATATATATATGTGTGTAGGTATACATATATGTGCACTTCTGTGTATGTATGCATATACATATTTCCCAATTATGCTGGAGAAAGAGCATAGGAGCAATAGCAAGGCATAGCAAGGAGAACACCCAGTACCCACATCCTGGTTTTGAAGCACTATCACTATCAAATAATGAGGCCTAGGAAACATGCAAGCATGACTGGTTATAGGCCTGGAGCAGAGAAACTATAAAACAGTCTAGAAGAACCTGTTGCAATGAGAAGGAAAGTGCTCAAAAAACAAGTCAAGAGGAGGAGCCAGCTTGAAGGAACAACCAGTGATTAAATCTGAGGTCCTCTGAGCCCCCAAATAAACAATGAATACAGTATATTCAATTAATAACACAATAAATAAGAATTCATAGTCCATACAGATATAAGCCAATAAATGGGTTAAAAGGCAAAGTTTGTGATATTAGAATATTAATCAATAAATATGCAAGGAATAAATGAGATAAGAGAATCATCATCAATCAACGCTAAATCTAGTGGGGAAACATAAGAGCTGTTCATGGTGTCACACGCTTGTAATTCCAGCACTCAGGACACTGAAGCAAATTCAAGGCCAGCCTCAGCTTTATAACTTGACCCTATCTCCAAAAAAAAGTTAAATAACATGTTTACATAACTTCAAACATCTACCTACAAAATACTTTTTAGTTACACAGGGAAAATAAGCTCTGTGGTGGAGAAACTAGCAGACACCACCCTAGGTAACTGAGTAAGCCAGATGGAACTAGTTACATCAAGTGTCTTCTTACACAGTACAATGAGAACACAAGCCTTCTATGCCTTCTAAGATATGTGCATTCAACATGCATACCAAAATCTGACCCTGAAGAAATACAAGACACAAACTGAGGACATTCTAAAAATTAGCCTTTGCTTCTGAAAAACATTAAGATTATAATCCATAAAGAAAGAATGGGAGATGGTCCAAGTAAAAAGATGAAAACTAGGCAACAAATAATATACGGTCCCAGATTAGATCATGAGCCAGGAAAAAAAAGCATAAAAATGTTGTTGGGTTGGTATATAAATAAGGAACACTTTTTAAAACTTCAGTACATTACACAAAGTCACACAGCAAGGAAATACTTAATCTGGAGGTAGAAACCAGCTCTGACTGCCTCAAGAGTAAGTACTTTTAGCACTGTATTCAATTAGGTTGCTACTAACCCAGCTAGTCACGCAGAAGAGCTATAAACTCAATCGAAAATTTTCACATTAAATTTCAGTTAAAATTGGGCATTATCTTATACTACTTAACAGAAACAATCAAATGTATCCCCTAATTGTACCAACATTGAACATTCCAAGTTATCACAGAAAAATCAAAAAATGAGCAAGTGTAAGAGCACCTATCATTCATTTACCCTTAAAGCACCTTACTTTTAGAGTATTACCAAAATGTAAATGAAAGTAAAACTGTGGGCATATGGTAAATAAAAATTACAATACAAATTATTTTATTTTGCAAAAACTGAACCAAAGTAACAAACGCAAACTACACTAGGCATGGCTGCAGAATTCAAGCTCTGATACTTACACACATTCACATACCTTTGCCTAAATGAGTGTTTATGCTCATGTATCTAGCTGTTCCTGTAAGGCTTTTGTGTTCTCTGTAGGGTATATGTTTTTTTGTCTCTGGATCAATATATTCCTTCGCCAAACCAAAATCTATAATATGAATAACTTGCTGGGTTTTGTTTCCTGGTCGTCCTATTAAGAAGTTCTCGGGTTTCACATCTCTGTATATCAAGTTCTTGGAATGAACATATTCCATACGAGAAATCTTAGTCGGGGGAAAGAAAAGAAGAAAATTTTTATTTTAGGTTTTTACTAGCAAAAGAAATCATGATAAAGCAAGACAGATCTTTCACAATGAAAACAACGTAAAAAAGAAAAAAAAAAAGAAATTGTTTCAACCCTTTAAAGTTAGCAAGATGTCTATAGTTCCTCCAAACATACCACTCATGACTCAGTGTTTGCCTTCGCTCTTATGGTCAATGATAAATCAAAGTGTCTAGATTTCAAAAATTCATTTCATATCAGTAAGTAAGACTCAAACACCAATTTCGGAGAATCCTAGCTTATAAAATAAAAACGACGTATTGACAAAAAAGAAAATCTCAAATTCAAAAGTAAAAACAACATACACATAAAGTTACATTATTCTTCCTCAGTTCAACAGTCAGGCAATTTTTATAATTAAAGCAACTTATGAACTTAATTTAATCTGTTAAAAAATTAGCATCATTCAGTATTGTTTTCATAACATTTACTTTCTCCCAAGTATTAAACATTTAAGACCTTGAAACTGGAAAACTTTGGGTTCCAATTCTAATAATAATACAGTGTATTTTTATTAACTATTTTAAAGAGTCTCAAATAATGTTCATTATACACAGTAATAGAAAAAGAACGTTGAAAGTAAGGTAATTGCTTCATTTATGGCAATGATGGTTAACACAGTCACACAGGCCATTCTAGTCTGTTCATTAACAAACTGTGGCTCACATTCCCAGGACCCAAACTTCAATTAGATTATATATTATGAGGGTTTTCCAGGTCATGACACATTCCTTTAATACATACTTTTTAATAGCTACATATTACTTTAAGACTATTAATCATTTATCCTGCTCACCTTGTTATACAGGGTCTCTCTGCCCCCTTCCCTTCCTCCTTCCAATTTTATCTACTCTTTTATACGAAACTTTTAAGTAATCTAAACATTTCTGACATGAATTTGAGGAAGTAGAATTAATGAGTCAGTGAATAAAAACAATTTTACGACTTCTGCAGCACACTCATGCTGGAATTAGTATCAAAACTGTCTAAAAATCATCTGCATTGTGTTCCCACAGGTTCCCTGACATTTAAACAGTAAAACTTTCATTAGTTTGTTTCTTCTTTTATTAGGTCATTAAACTCAACTTCTAAGACTAAGAATTCTGTTTCTGAGGGTTCAAAGTTTTCATCTTGAAAGAAAGGAGTGCTAGAAAAACAATTCTCAAAGTGAGCACTCTGCCCTTAGAGCAGCGATGGTTATTAATTTTGATATAACCTAAAATGCATTTGACTCAGTCATTTTAAATTACATGCACCCTAAAAAAGACAACATAAACAGCAGAACATTTGTATTGCATAGGTCAAATGTTCTATGAGACGTCACAGATTTTAGGAGCATTTTAAAATTATTTATGAAGCCAGGTATGATGTATACATCTACAATCCTAGCACTCAGGAAGTAGAGGCAGAAAGAGCAGGAGTTCCAGTACAGCTGACCCTACACAGGGGCTTAGAGACCAACTGGGTTACACGAGACCCTTTCTCAAAAAATTAAGATGGATGGACAGACAGAAAAAGGGAGGGAGGGAATCTGTGATCAATGAACTACAGTTCTTCAAACAACTTTGAATATCCTGCTTACTTACCAGTTGTATAGCTATCATGAGAACTGTCTTAAGAGAAAATGTTCTATCACACAAGTCAAACAAATCTTCCAAACTAGGTCCCAGCAGCTCCAGCACCATGGCGTTGTATTTACCACAAGGGCCAAAATAGTAAACTTGAGGTATACCATCTAGAGAGAAAGGAAAGTTATTTAATAATTTCATCTTAGTAAATACTGAGCCTTTTCCTGCCAATCAATAAACAGTATTTTGAACTTTCTAGTTTTAAGACCTTAGTGAATTTAGTTTCTCTAAATAGACAAGAAAACATGTATTAAACCTCCTTTTACCCTATACTTTCACATTGATGTCCACATTGTAACCTGGTTACAACTCCATTGTAGTTGCATTACTAAATAACATAAAAAGAGTACTTTCCCTCCACCACCTCACACACTGCGTTTTTCAGCCTTGTATTTCTACAGGCTATAGAAAGGCTGAGAATACAGAAAAGATTCCACTTGTATTGAACAAGAGAGTCATGCTCTCTTTTGTAACACCATGGTAGGCATGCTACTAAGATCAACCCCAATACCTTCCCTTAAATGTGGGCAAATTCCTAGGATTTCACTCTCCTAATTAAGTGTGTGTGTGTGTGTACTATATATACATATATCTATGCACATCCATACACACACCCATACACATACATACAGTCCCTATCCATAGATCTTAAATCAATCAAAGGCAAAGTAACCTAATGGTGGTTTAACCTAATCGAATCTTCTTTAAAAGGAGACTCTAAAAATCAAAAATACTGGGAACAGCGGGAGGTTCTGTTAGCCCTGAATATATAAGTCCTGTTATGAAGAAATCCATATGCTAGGAGAAAAGCCTATAGAAACTGTAGCTCTCAAGCCTGTAAACATGAGGAACCATAGGCTGGTAGAAACTAGAAGAGGGTATTAAGCATCCAGTTAGGTAACAGTCACAGTCTAGGCTCATCTAGGCCTTGATTTTAGCATGGTGAAACTGTCCACAGTCAAACCATTAGGCCATACTGGGTTTTCTGACCCATGGAAACTGAAATAATAGTCTCTTGTTTTAAGACACTAATAATTTATTATTCAGCCATACAAAATAAAACTCAAGCCTGACATTTATCTGTTTTATTTTTAGAATTAATAAATTTCCAACACACAATTAAATGATCAATTTACTTTCACACTGCATTTAAAACTTATTCATCAAGAGGAAATGAAATTCTTCTATCCACAAATATCCATTTTATTTCCAAGTGATTTCTTTGGGGGGGGTGATATTTTTAAAAATGAAAAATCTTTCCAAATACAATTTCTTTAAAAAATCCTTTCTGTTATTTTATAAAAATATTTTATTATTTGTATTTTATGTATATGAGTGTATTGCCTGCATGTATGTAAGTGTACCCATGTCGTGCAATGCCAATGGAGGTCAGAAGAATAGAGTCGGATTCCCTTGGAACTGGAGTTATGAACGGCTGTTAGCCACCATGTGGGTGCTGGGAATCGAACTTGGGTCCTCTGCAAGAGCAGCCACTGCTCTTAACCGCTGAGCTATCTCTCCAGTCCCAATTATTTTATTATTTTTATTTTATGTATATGAATGCATTGTCTGAATGTAAGTACACCTGTGTCATGCAGTGCCCAAAGAGGACAGAAGAGAGTGTTGGATCCTTGGAAATGGAATTACAGACTGTTGTTAGCTGCCATGTGGGTACTGGGAATTGAACCCAGGTCCTCTGGAAGAGCAGCCAGTGCACTTAACTGCTGAGCTATCTCTCCAGCCCCTCCATTCTTTTTCATAAAAAATAGTGGAAACAGTTTCATTCTGTTAACCCTACCACACTGAGTACAAATTATTAAAGTGGCAGAAGAAAAGATACTGAACCAGAAATCAGCAGGAACACTTCTCAGACTGACCTACCATCTGCCAGTGTCTAGGTTGTCATCCAACTGCTCAAGTGGGCCTCAGAAGCAGTAGTTTGGCTAAGAGCAGCATTCTTCAAGTGCAGTACATGGGAGGGGCAGAATGCTACAGTTAAGGAAATACATTCAAGCCACTTACAAGTCTCCAGAAATAGTGGTCACTCACATGCATGCCAACACTGTGCACACTGTCTACTAGTGTAAGTCACTCCTAGAAGAGCCACTCATCATGTGCCATGAAATTTTTCAAAATTGTTCATTCATATTGAATGAAAGACTGTCTAAAGTTTATTCCAGTTCAAATTCTGTTTTTTTTTCTAAGAAAAATAATGCATATTAAGAGCTTAGAACTTCAATTAACACTTGGAACTGCTGGGACTTTCCAACAGCTCTCAGCTACATAGCTTTTAAAGTTCTTCCCACAATAGTTTTTTTTTTTTTTTTTTTTTTTTTAAATATTCAGAGGTTGCTAACTTCTATGTTCTCGATTTAACAATCTCAAAAACTCATTTCCACTCTTCAGTTTGTTGCTTTTGATCTTCATGGTGCAAGGAAATTAGATCATCAAAGTTGATAGAACTATATATAGGCTATAACAATAAATCGTTTTTAAAGTTACTTAATGACAGGACTGCAAAGGGCTTCTCCACTTCCTACTCAGTCACCACCCACATTCCAATAGCTTAGGTTGTGGAGAAACAACCTCTGAATAAAGCATCAATAGATTTTGAGTAACTACATGAGTGGTATTTTGGTTACTAATTTTTCAAATGTTCTCAAATGTCACCAAAGATGGAAAACCCACTTAAGGATTATACCTGTCTTTATTCACTAAATACATATTGAACATGTTGACAATATCCTCATGGGGCTGATTTAGATAGTAGACATAATAAAAGCACACAGGATACCATAACTGAGCAGTTTATCCAGAAATACAAATTTGGGTTAATATTCAAAATCCAAGAATGCAATTCACTATAATAACAGTAAGTGAAAAACATCAAAAGATCATTTTAATGCAAAGGAAATATCTAACACAACTCTCAGCAAAATTCTGAATGTAAGTTGTCTAACTCCAATAAAGGACACCTATGATAAACTACAAGCTAGCACCATACTTAACAGTGGAAGACTGAATTTGTTCCACTAAAGACTGGGAGTAGGACAAGAATGACCACCTTGAACTCTTCTATTCACAGGGCTTTAACAGAACAGTTACAAATCAAAATAGAGTCACCCATGCTAAAATGCCATGTCACTAAAATGAAGACTAAGATGATTATCTGACCTTTCAAGAAACCAGAAGACATGAGAAATAAGAGCCAAATTTTCTGGACCAGGCTAGTTTCAATGAGTGTATTTAAGTTTCCCTACTTTAATCCTTATACAGAAGTAATCTAATCTGAGACAAGGTCTTGTTTTTGCAGTTCAAGTTTGCCTTGAACTAGCATCCCTCCTGTCACCCTGTCTCAAGCACTGGGATTATAGGCCTGAGCCATCACATCTGGTTTAAAATATTTTAATGACTTATTAAATACACAGGGAAAAACAGAAAACTAAGAGATTCAAGAAAGCACAAGTATTTTCTACTTTTGTATTTTTCAGACCTTCCCATTTTTTACAAACAATATATATTATTTTTGCAATCATAAGGAGGGAACATGTTTAAAGTCCCTTTTAGGAGCCAGGCGTGGTAGCGCATGCCTTTGATCCCAGCAAAGGCAGAGGCAGAGGCAGAGGCCAGCCTGGTCTACAAACTGAGTTCCAGGTCAGCTGGGGCTACAGGGAGACCCTGCCTCAAAAGTCTCTTTTAAGTCCACAATCAGCAGTTTTAAAGGAAAAAAAATACTTGGACTAAACTATAATTTTACTTCCCAGGACTTGTCTCAACAGGTTTGTTTGTTTTTTGTTTTAACTGAGCAAAGTCCGTTACTAGCTGCCAACAGTCTTCACTCTCCTGCTGCCGCCCCACAGAAAGGCTTTGATACCAACAGTCCTCCTTCAGGTTAGGATCACAGTCCATAGCTCTGGCTCCTTTATCTCAGCTTATGTCAAAGACATGAGACTTGGAGTGGATACCTACACCTTAATACTTCAAGGTGTGTTGGACCTTCCAGCCCACAAAGTAGCCATTACAATGGGGCTGAAGAAGAACAGTGACTACAAAACAGAGATAGGGAAATCCAAAAATAGCAAAAGATGTTGTGACTGTTGTAAATCTATTGATTTAAAGATAAATATAAAAATATTTGGAGTTAAACTTACTCAAGATTTACTGCCAATAACCTATATGAAGAGGCTGGAGATGAGACCACCACTGTTGATGTACTGGCCAAGGAAGACTTCTATAAAATCAGCAAAGGTGCCAATCCCATGGAAATCAGAACAGGTTTGACACTGGCTGTTGAGCTATAATTGCCAAAAATGTAATTCCAGGATCCATTTGTTTTACTGAGTGAAAAGAAACTATCTGGTGTCCGGTGTGTAGCACATGCTCTTGAAATTGACAATGCCCACAGTAAGCCCTTTTATCATAATAGCTAAAAATGTTAAAAGGGAAAATGGCTTTAAATAGGCTAAAAACTGATCTTCAGAGTGTTGTAACTGATGACACAGAATCAATAAAGATATGGCTATTGCTACTTGTGATGCAGTATTTGGAGAAGACAGGTATTGACCCTAAATCTTTTTTTCCTACTTCTTTTTTGAATTTTTGTACATTTCATATAATACATATTAATCATATTTAAAACCCTTCTCTTATCCCTTAGAGCCATCTTCTGGTTGGATTTTATTCATCCTATCATATATGATAAGGCCTATCTAGACAAGCTTGTGTACTTAGATGTCACTTGGTTTGAGTTCTTCCCCTGGAGCCTGGTCAGCCTATCTAGCATCATTTCCCTAAAGAAGATCATTTCTCCCTCACCCAGCAGTGATCAGGTGCCAATAGTTTCTCAACCAAAGTTGGGGCTGTGTATCCACTTCCTCATGTCTATGCTGGGATTATTATTATTATTATTACTATTACTATTATTGGTTTGAGTTTGCATGGGTCTTATGCATGCTGTGACCATTGCTATAAGTTCACATGAGCAAGTTTTGGTCACCTGGAAAACTTTCCTTGTGGTCATCCACCACCCCTGGCTCTTACAATTTTTCTTCCCCCCTCTTCTGCAAAGGTCCTTGAACCCTGGGTGCTTAATATAGCCCAGAGATTT